CATAGATCTATTTCCCCATCCTCATATAGAAATATATTTGCATATGTACATGTCTTTATCTAGACCTCTATAAATGCCCTTTGTCTCCCAGCTCTTTCCTCTACTTCCCTTGACTTTCCTCCCATACAGCTTTATTTCATTTTAATTGTTGATACACTTGTTACTGGTGGGAAGTCTTTGAGGTGCGCTGCAATAAAAGGCATACTGAAGAAAATAGGTGCCGAGGGTCCATGAAACAGATCACACATGAGAGTGTGCAGGGGTTAAAAGAGAAGCCAGGGGTGGGGAGAGGGAGGGAGGGGGAAAATGAGGAGGGCAATGAGTGTACAAATGTGCTTTACACAGTTGATGTCTGTATGGATTGTGATAAGAGTTGTATGAGCCCCTAATGAAACAATTTTTAAAAAGAGAGAGAGAAAAGCCAGGAAGGGACCTGCAGTTCTACACAAGATGCAGAAATGTTCTTATCACTCCCCAGACGGTAAGGGAAATCAGAGTGTGCGGGGTTTCGTCATGTTTCTCTGAAGGCATTTTTGACAGGGAATACCAGGGTTGGGATTCCAGGCAAATTCTTTCCTCACATGAGACTTGAAATAGGATCCAGCCCAGAGAACCGGGACCCAAGGGGAGGCGTGATTGGCATTCCCCTAGATACGCTTGTTAATGATGGAGTGCCTGAGGAAGTGCGTAGGATTCAGTTCAGGATTCATTAACAGCATTGGCTGGGTCTAAAAGATTGATCGCATGTGTCATTGATTAGGAGGAGAATCTTCTATGTTAACAAACCCTCCCGTATGTAGGCCAGCCACATCACTCCTGAACTAGAACTTTCCATCAGAAGCACATTTTCTCTCTGTCCTTCTAAAGCTGTCTCTCAATAAGCCACATGCCTGGTTTTTTAAGACCTCACTGCAGACGCACATGGGAGCATGGCAGAAACACTAGCCTCTGGCCTGTTTTCTGCATTTCGTCGTTGTTTTCGGAGCAGACACAATAATCTGCCCCCCTCCCCCCGCAGCCCCCATTTCTGGATGAAGCTGCCTTTGCTTCAGGAGTCCCCCAAAAAGAAACGGCTAAAGAATGATGCCGATGCTCTACAGAACACTTGCAGGACACAAAATGTTAGGGTTGGTTTTGGGGGGATGGGGGGGTTGTTTTAAGTAAATACTGTAACACAAGCTCTCCCATCTGTCTGGCTCCAATGAGCTAAATCATGCAAATCAAATTCGTTTTCCTCTTTTGCTTCCTCCCATTCATGCCTTAATTGGGATTTCCCAGACAGGTCAGGAGGGTCCCTTTCGATGCCGTACTCTCGTGTTTCACTGCTCATTAGCGATTTCGATTGTGGTTAGAGACTTCTTCCTGCTCTTCTGTCTTAGGGGTGTTGTTTTTGGTGCATCTTGTTCTTGTATAATCAAGCCTTGGCAGCCTCCTCTCGTCTGCCTTGTTGGGCTTTGTCCAGTCGCGGTGCAGAACCAGTGACTGCAAGAATGGGGAGACGTTTTGCAGGGGCGAGCCAACCGCCCTGTGACATGTGCACTCCGCCGCCACAGGTGACGGCCGGCCGGCTCCGCACCTCCCGCCCTTCTGGCTTGCTCTTAGACCCCCAGGTCAGAGAGGCCTCCAGGGCCCTGCGTCCTCCTGCCAGTCCCCGGGCTGTGGAACAGGGTGTCGTGTCCTCCCCTCCCTTTCTCCCGTTTGCCTTTATTGAGCCTGGGTGGGTAGTGGTTACACGTTGGGCTACTAACGGAAAAGTCAGCAGTTCGGACCCACCAACCACTCCGAGGGACAAAGACGAGGCTGTCTGCTTCTTTAAAAAGTTACCGTCTGAGAAACCCACAGGGGCCGTTCTACTCTGCCTCGTAGGGTCGCAGGGTTGAGTCAACTGCACGACAGCGCAGAGACTTTGCTTGAGACATGGTTTATATCATCTCAGCGCTCACTCTCTCCAAGGGTACCACTGAATGTGGTTTAGAACACTTACAGAATGGCCCAGCTATCGCCCTGCTCTCATTTTAAAGCAAGTTCACCACTCTGGAGAGAACTCTTGTGCCATTCACCTCCTGTTTCTGCTGTAGCACAATTGGCACACATTTAGGGTCTTTGCACAGACTTTAGTACCTTGCCATGCTGGAGGTCAGAATCCACAGTGGGCAGCACTGGGCTAGACGAGGGGGGTGAGCGGGGCTCTGGAGACTCTAGTGGGGAATTTGCGTTCATGCCTTTTCCAGCGTTCAGAGGCTGCCCGCATTCCTGGCCTCCCTGGCCCCCTTCTATCCCCAAAGCCAACAGTGCTTGTCAAGTCTTTCTGGGGACGCCACCTTTCTGGTCTGACTCTTCAGCCACCGCTCCCCGTTTAAAGACCTCTGGGCGTTCATTAAGGAGCTGTGTGAGTTACTGGATGAGAACCAGCTTGAACCCACCGGGTGCTCTGAGAGACACATGAGGCTTTCTGTTTCTGTAAAAAGCCATAGCCTCAGAAACCCAACGGGTGGTGCTCTGTCCTATCGGGTCCCTGTCAATCAGAATCGGCGCCCTGGCCAGGATTGGGGACTTTGGTGAGCTCATTGAGCCCATCTGGATAATTGAGGGGAGTCCCCTTAACGGCAGTGGATTAACAACCTTAATTCCATCTGAAAATTGAATTTCTGCTTGCTGTGTAACGTAGCCTATTTGCAGATCCCAAGTGGATCTGGGCATTTTTGTCACGGGGCAAGGGGGTAGGGTGGAATACTGTTTAACGTTCCACCAAACTCACTGCCGCTGAGTCAATTCTTACTCATGTGACCCTCTAGGACAGATCAGAACTGCCCCTGTGGGTTTCTGAGACTACAGATCTTTATAACAATAGAAAGCCTCATCTTTCTTCCTGGGGCAGCTGGTGGTTTCAAACTCCTGACCTTGCAGTTAGTCGCCTACCACACAGAATCCAATAGGCCACCAGGGCTCTCTTAGCCTTCTCCACGCCCCATATTCCCATTCCTAGAAAACTATTAATCTCATTTCAGTCTCTGTGTATGTGTTCATCATCCCCCCCCCCAACTAGGTTTATTGGCTTATAATTCATGTGTCATACAATTCAATGGTTTAATCACATCAAGAAGAGTTCTACAATCATCACCTCCATCAGTTTTAGAACATTTTCTTCATTCTTGTACTCATCATTAGCTCCCTGTTGTCCCCCGCAACCTCCCCTGCCATACACCCAAGTTACTACTGTCTCTATAAGTTTATCTATCTTGGATTTCTATACATGAAAACAAAAAGCAAATAAAAAAACTAACAAGAATAAATAAAACAGATAGAAACTTCTATCAAAAAGAAATTAGAAAACACCAAAAAGTAGAATAAATGTAAGTGGACCATAAGAGAGATCAAATGATAGGGTGCCAAGCTTTAATCTAACTGCATGTGCAACAACTCACTTTCGAACGCATTCTGCATGTTAGCAAGGTTATTCACATTCCTGGTCCTTGGTCCGAAGGGATTCACCAGTGGCTTAATCCGTGTGTATTCCCCATCACTTAAAAACAAACAAACTGAAACAGCTGTAAGATGGATCAAGAGGGAGATAAAATGATAAATATTATATTTTGACCTAACTACATCATAGTGGACTTCACAGTGACCTTTGTCTTATAGCATGGTTATGCACATCCTTCAAGTATGGTCAGAGGGGCTTCACAGGAAGCTCAATCCATGCGTGAACCTGCAAATGGAGCTTGGGCGTCCACTGCCATCCACTGCCTTTTGCAAACTGGGTGTTCACAATTTAAGCTCTGATACCATTACCTCCTGTAGATTTGGATTATAATATTTACGCTCCTTGGATCACAGGCTGGTGTGCTTCTTCCATGTGGACTTAGTTGATTCCTCACTTAGAAGACTGCTTGTTTGAAAAGAAGCCTTTAAGGCCCCAGGTGGTATTCTGCCTGATAGCTGGGCACCATCTAGTTTCTTCTTGTTGTTGTTCTTTTTCTTTCTTTTCTTTTTTTTTTTAAATACTTTTATTGGTGGCTTTTACATCTCTTATCACAATCCATACATTCCTCCAATGTGTCAAGCACATTTGCACATATGCCTCCATCATCATTTTCAAAACATTGTCTTCCCACTTGAGCCCCTGATATCAGCTCCCCATTTCTTCCCCCGCCCTCTCCCACCTACCCTCCCTCATCAACCCTTGTTAAGTTATAGATTATTTTTCCCATATCTTACATTGTCCTCCATCACCCCTCACCCACTGTTCCATTATTCATTCCCCTGGGAGAGGGTTCTAGGTTGATCCTTGTGAATGATACCCCCTTTCTCTCCCCAGATACCCCTAATCCTCCTGTTGGCCCTATCTCTACCTGATCTCTACCCTCCTTGTGGCTCTAAGGGGTTTATCTATCCTGGATTCCCTGTGTTGCGGCCTCTTATCTGTAGCAGTGTGGATGCTCTGGTCTAATCTAATTTGTAAGGTAGAATTGAGGTCATGGTAGTGGGGTGAAGGGAGCACCAAAGAGCTAGAGGAAAGTTGTGTGTTTCATTGGTGCTATACTGCACCCTGACTGGCTCATCTCTTCCTTGTGTCCACTCTGTGACGGGTTGTCCAAATTATCTACAGGTGGGCATTGGGTCTCCACTCCATGTCCTCCCCATTTACCTTGGGTATGGTTTTATTTTGGGTCGATAGCACCCATAACTTTAATAATCTCTTTATGAGAGTATTGAGTACAATATGTCATAAGAACTAATTATTCTTAGGTTGAGCCTAGAATTAAGTACAAGACCAAAATCCATTCCTGTATCTGTGGTTTATCTATGTCTCTGGTCACCTTAAAGACATCATTGTCATCTTATGTTAGAGAACAGTATCAATCATCCCCCCAGAGCATCACTTCCACTGCCACCAACTCAATGCTACCAACCCTAACGGGCTACCCAACCCAGAACTGCCCCTGTGAGTGCCAGTGTGCTCATCTTTTTATTGCCCTTCATACTCCATTTCTTCCATGAGGTTTATGTTCAGCCTTGGTTCCACCTCTTCTCCCTTTTTTGGTCTGTTTCTCTCATTGACTTTTCTCTTACTCCTTAAGAGGTGACTAGCTTCTAAAGCAGGGGTCCTCAAATTTTTTAAACAGGGGGCCACTTCACTGTCCCTCAGACCCGTTGGAGGACCGGACTATAGTTTAAAAAAAACTATGAACAAATTCCTATGCATACTGCACAGATCTTATTTTGAAGTAAAAAAGCAAATAGGGCAAAAACACCCAGCGGGCTGGATAAATGTCCTCGGTGGGCCACATGTGGCTCACGGGATGTAGTTTGAGGACGCCTGTTCTAAAGAAAAGCATGATCAAATTTTAGAGGACCCTGAATTGGGACCGAAAATAAGTACACAGATTCCATCGATAAATATGAGGGGATTTTCAAAATGTTTATAGAAAAACATGGAATTAGAGATAAAGGACTTTTCCCAGGAACTGTTGAAACCCCCTCATCTTAGTGACGTTGCCTCCAAACCACGCAGCTAGATAGTGTGTGTGGTAAAACCAGCCCCTGCTGCAAGTTAGATCACTTGGTTTGAAGACAATCCACGTAGTCTTAGTGGATTTAAGTGACCTCACACTGTAAAGGGAAGGGGCTAGACCATCTCAAGGGCTCGCAGGTGTGGTTTCTGGACCAGCAGCATCAACGTCGTGTGAGACCTCGCTCAATGCAAATCCTCCAGTCTCACCCCAGGTCCCCTGCCTCAGAAACACTGAGCATGAGCCCCTGGCCCCATCTGTGTCTGAAAAGCCCTTTGGGTGACTCGGATGCATCTTACTGTTGAAGAAACCCTGGCCTAGATTCTGTCTTAGCTCCCACCAAACAGAGTAGTTGATGAGTTAAATGTCTAGGGATGTCAAAAAGAACCAGAATTTTTAGTTGGTAGAAGATGCGAAAATGCTAACCATGGAGTGATGTAATATTAAAGCTCGGAGGTTTTAAATGTCTGTTAGGATCCCTGTTTCTTTGAGAACCCCATCATTGGAGGTGTTTCACTTCTCTTCAAAGTATGACCGAGCTCACACCCCCGAGTGTCTGTGCATCGTTTCTAAGAAGCTGAGAGTATAAATTGCAGGACATAAAATGAAGGTCTGTTACTCACATCCCATTTCTGTGTTTCCCGCCCACAGGTCTACAACACGGGGCCAAGCACCCTGCCTGCGTCTTCTGTCAGCATCTCTTTCCCTAACCGGCTGGCCTCTGGGGGTGCAGAGATGTTTCATGTGCAGGAGATGGTGGTGAGTTCTCCATCTGTTGTCAGACTTGAACCAGCCCCTTCAGATTGTGTGCCTACCCCAAGCCTGGTCTCTCTCCATCCACCCCAAGGGCTCAGACAATCTCACTCATTCAAACTTTAAACACCGACCTGGAAAGCCAGGGGACCTTTGACATCGGAATTTCTACGCTGAGACGGTTTTGAGGCATGCCATGAGAAGGCCTCTTTGCGGAGGGGGCAAGGGCTGCTTATGAACCGAGGAGAGACTTGTTGGGCTTTGGGACGCTTCCAGCGTTGTCTCCAGTCCAGTGTGTGTCTGTGTGCATTTTTCTGAGAAGATCCGCAGCGTTCATAAAGATGTTCACTGCTGCCTGAAAGATGAAGGATGGGCCCTCGGACATCCCTGTAGGTTGAAACTCAAGACTTACATAGGGAGGGGACAGCGCCACCTGGTGCAGAGCCCACTGCAGTGGGTTTCTGTGATGATTAGAGTACAATGTGTATTTCTTCTCATCCAAGGTGCCTCACAGCTGTGATCTAAAGGACCACCTCGCCAGCCTGGCAAGTGAGCAAAAGATCAAGTAATAATTTGCATGGGTTACAAGTGGCTCTTTCTTCAAAACAAAATCAAACACACAACAACAACAAAAAGATGAAACCAGGGGAAATAGCAATGAAAAGGAGGTTAAAGCTTGCCTGTAAATTTCAGAAAAGTGAGATTTAACCCAGCACAATGAAGATCAGTATCATGAAGATCAGAATTTGAGAACATGAATTTGATGTTACAATACTATATACTACAGAATTCATGCTATTTGACAGTTATATTTGTGGCTCTAGCTCATTTTATCTCGAAGGAGGCTTGATCACTAACCTGGGAGCATTTCTGTCCTCCTTGAAACACTCTCTCCATGCTGTGGAGGACATCACGGTCCCACTGTCTTCCCGTTCTCATCCCCCCCCCCTTCTAGAATGTCCTCTATCTCCATCACAGAGAGCTCACCCACGCTCATGGCTGCATGTGCAGCCTGTGCTCCTGACACCAAACGTGGCTCTCCAGCCCAGACTTCTCCCAGGAAGTCAGACTTCTATAGCCAGCCAAGGAGGCTTGATGAGATGGTGTCCTGGGTTAAGCACTGGGCTACTAGGTGAGGGTTCAAACTAGCCCCTCGGAGGGAGAAAGATGAAGCTGCTGGCGCCCTTATAGATGGACAGCCTTGGAAACCCTAAGCTCTGTCCTCCGGGGATGCCGTGACTCATGGCCTGACCATGTCCACCGGGATACCCAACAGGTTTCTCAGTTGTATTCAGGACAGAACTCCTGACCGTCTGCTCTCACGCCTGCTTCTCCCCAAAGACCCCATCTCAGCAGATGGCTCCTCTACCCTCCCCGAGGCTCAGATGTCTTCTTTCTTGACCCCTTTCTCCTACATCTCACACCCACTCCAGCAGCAGAGACCCTGCCCCTCCACCTTCACAACAGATCCTGAATGTTGCCACTTTTGAATCCCCTTCCTGGTCCCGGGCACCAGCACCCATCATCTGGGCGATTGCTGTCATCTCCTGTGTCTGCTTTGGCCCCTGCAGTCCACTCTTGATCCAGCTGTAGAGCGCAGTGAATCTATAGGACAGGATGGAACTGCCTCTGTGGGTTTCTGAGACTAACTCTTTGGGAGTAGAAAGCCCTGTGTTTTTCCCAAGGAGCTGGCTGGTGGTTTTGAACTGCCGCCCTTGAGGATTGCAGCCCACAACACAACAAACATGTGGACAGGTTACTGTGAGCCTCTCTCTGTCCATCAGCAGCCACGCTAGAATGACCACGAGAGTAACAGAGACTGGAAGAGGGGTAGCATGACACGTTTTCAGGTTCATGTGAAGTGCCTCACCCACAGCGCTACTGGGCCTCCTTAAAGCAATCGTTCTCTATTTACTCTGCAAATCCTGGCTAAGCATATACTTATTGCGTACCAGGCTTGAGAGGAGGGATCATTCATTCAGCTGCTCCCAGCAGCTCCCAGCCTTGTGCGAGACTGAGACCTCAAAGGGAATTGCCGTGCCACCTAACGAATGCACTAAAGCAGGCGTGCCCAGGTTCAGAAATGGTCCAAAACTCTCCCTAGTGTCATGAAGCAGGCTCTCCAAATGGGGGCTCAGAGGGTGTGTAGGAGTTAGCCAGGAAGACGATGAAGAGGAGAGCTTTCCAGACAGAGGGATAGTCTCTACCTACACGTGTGTGATGGGGCCACATCTGTCGTGGCAGAAGCTGGGCCTGGCTCTGCATTCACTTCACCTGGCTGTTACACAAACAGGCAACGGTAACTCTTCTCTATTCCCTCTCCAAAGCACATAGCAAATAATTATTTTAGCAGTAAGACGGGAGTGCTGAAGACCTTCATTTCCTGCGGCGGTTGGTAAATTCGTCTCTCCTTCTGGGGTGCATCACGTGTGTGTATCTGTGGTCCTCCACCTTCATTTTCCTGCCTGTTACCATTGGGGGAAGGCCAACTGTCCTTCTAGTGACACCTGATGAACCTTGTCGCAAATAGTCCCCCTCCCCGGCTCATGCAGAGAGCAGTGGCTTCTGTGGGCCAGCCCTCCTGGGTGAGGCCAGCTTTGGCCACTTGTGCCTTGACAGAGGCTCCTGTCCGAGCTGAGGATGGGCCTTTCCTTACACAGCTTGGTGGAGCCAAGCCTGCCCAGTGTCACGGTTTCACTTCGCTGCAGAAATGGGCTGACTCGGGGTGCAGGGCTCAGAGCGGGCTGAACACCAGGTCTGTCACAAGTTTTATGGCTCAGATGGGGGTAGAGCATTTATTTAAATTTGGGTGGTGGTTCCACCCCAAAGTTAGGTTGGCCCATGTGGGAAGAATCATAGGAAGGGCTGAGAGGTTTGTCCCAGGGCTCAAACTTCATCTGCTGCAGCTGAAGACTTCTCTAAGTGAGCGGCTTTGCAAGGCTGCAGGAGAAAGCTCTTATTAATAGGCGAGAGACAGGGATGGCTTACAGAGAGGGACACCTGGAACTTATCTGCAGGTGGAAGTACCAGGTCTTTCAAAGCGCTACACTTTTAATCCAGAGCACTGAACAAATGCCTTCACATGCTTTCTTCCTCCTGAAACACCATCTGAAAATGTTTCTCCCTGGCTTGTTCTGTCCTTGCTACTGGGGCAGTGATTCTAAAGAACTGACCTGATTTCTAGGAAGTACATGAAAGTGGAGATGGAGGATGATTTTCCAAGGAGACAAACAAGTGGTTTTGCCATCAACCATCATTGGAATATATACGTTCATGTGATATTTAAATCAACATCCACTAGCATAGTCCAAGTTGGTGCTGGGATTTATATTCTTGTTAATTAAACAGTTCTCCTTTTCTGTTTCACACATACACAGCAAACAGGAGGTGTGTGTTTCTTACATACACACGATCCAATGTGTACAAAATGAATCTGATCCATATGGGAATTTTAATGGATTAATGTTACAACAACAACAAAGACCAACCCCATGGCAGTTGGGTCAATTCTGACTCGCAGCGACCTTACAGGAAGGGCAGCATGACCCCGGTGGGTTTTCAAGATCGTGACTTTGAAGGGAGTAGTAGCCTCATCTTTGTCCAATGTGTGGTAAGGATGCCATATCCCTTTGAAGAAAAGATGAGCCTGGTACGCTAATGACCACAGCAGAGGCGGAATGTATTTGGACAGAAACAGAGGACTGATGGGTTTTCTGCAAGAAGGATCAGGGGAAGCTTATTAATGACAATGATGTTTGCGCCAAACCATGAAAAAGAATCAGATACAATACAAAATCAAAGAATTAAAAAAAAAAAGTATTGTGCTTGACAAAAGTTAATAGCATGTATTGGCTGCCTAGTCTCTTTGAAAGTACTAATAGCCTCTTTCATGTGCTGCATCTAGTCCTCATAGCGCCTCCATAAAATAAGGTTATGATCCCAATTGAGGAACCAAGACTGAGAAATGTACCCAGCTTCACGTAGTGATAGGGCTAGGATTGTAGCCAGGCTTGTCTGACCCCAAGGATCGTGTGGTTCCCATGGTGCTCTCCTTCAGTCCTTCTTGGTAATACTGCCCACTCCCCAGTTACCAGAGGCACGCTCAGTCAACATACTAAAAAGATGACTGGCCAGGCAGCCCCAAATCACCCATCAAAGGTGGAGCACCAACACTGGGACAGATCGCCAAATGCAATCAAAAGAAGAAACAACGCTAGAGAATGACATACCAAGACAGAGTATTTTATTTAGACTAACCAAGATTGTCACCTTCTGAAAGATGGGAGAGGAGGGGAAAGAAACCGTTTTTCCATGAAACAAAATAAACCAGAGGTTTGTAAATTGAAATTTTTGACCATCAAAATGAAAATGTTAATACCTGGGTTGTATTGTGAAGTGGACCTTCAATGAACCCATGAGAGCCAAATCTCAACAGAACCGCCTTGTTTGTCAGCATCTCAGAATTGTTCTGCTTTTGACAGGGTGCAGCCCTCACTCTTTTCTGTTGCTCCTTTTGGTGGAAAATATTTGAGTTTTTCTTCTCTGGCAGGTTTCTAACTGAGACAGTTTCCACCCTTTACAGATTTTATTTTCTATCGCATACACACACACCACGAGGGAGCTTTGGAAGTCTGTGGGAAAATTAAAGGTAATGGAAGATAAGCTGAAAATAATGGAATTTTCCCACAATTTTTTAAAGCCCTTTAGATGAAGCACTGGAATCGCTTACTTGTCCATACCAAGACATTTGGAAAACAACTACCTGGCCAACTGACTAGAAAAGATTCAGATCCATACCCATTCCAAAAAAAAAGGTGATCCAACAGAATGTTCATATTATAGAACAATATCCTTAATATCACATGCAAGAAAAATGTTGCTAAAGAGTCCCCGACAATGGCTGCAGCAGTACATTGACAAGGAACTCCCAGAGGTTCAGGCCAGATTCAGAAGAGAATCTCATCGACTGAAGACAGAGAATACCAGAACGATGTTTACCTGTGTCT